CTTGCATATATACATGGATGTATACCTGTATATACACACACCACCACCAAACGACAACAACAAAATTTACTAAAGAAATAGATCATTTTATTTCCTCAATACACTTGGCCTTAATAGACAGTAGGTATCTATTTGCAGTCACTTCATAGTGAGTATAAAGAAGCAAGAAAAAAAAAAAAGAAATAGCAACATTTGCAGTACAAAACATGTCATAGAGTGGAATAAAGTGTTCAAAGACAAAGTTGTAAATTAGACAAAGTTAAACCATTGGAGAAATTCATCCTGTAAATACTAAGAACTACTAAATGTAAGCATGGTGGGGGAAAAAGGGGGGTGTTTTTCCCAAAGACTGGCAATTGTGAAGCATGAAAGAGGAATGATAAAACATACCTAATCTGCTCAGAGAGGAAAATAAATTTTGTAATACTTATGAAGACAACTGCACAATCTAATAAAGCTAGAGACATATGCATTCCACAATTTAGCATTTACTTCTGTTATTTTTTTAAAAACTCATATACATTCAAAAGAGATAAGAACAATGATGTTTACCACAAGATGTTTTACAGATTTGAAAAACTGGAAATAGTGCACATTATCAACAGGAATAAATGAGTACACGATGTCACAGTAATGCACTGTACTACCCCATTCACGTGCAATAAATAAATCTGCATGTTTCATGGATAAATCTCAAAAACAACTTATCAAAGCAGGCAAGTTACTATGGATCCCAATGGGAGACTACTTTCATGTAAAGTTAATCACATTATATTTTGTTTACAAATACACAGAAAAGCGAACTGAGAAGAGACTCATGGATTACAGTAACACAAAATTTATGACAGCTGTTACTTTTGAGCAAAATGTGATTAAAAAATAACAGGCTCATCAATGCTTAATTTAAAATATATACCTATGAAACTGAGAAAACAAAGCATTAAGACTTGACCAAGATGGATAATAGTCATGGAGAAGGTGACTACATTTCCCTCATTTTCCATGAAGATTACATATAGGAGCAGTGTGGATAATGTAACATAGTAGGGGAAAAAACAGAAACAAAGGTGCAATTTTAAGATCAGTGAGAAGCAATGACAATGTAGACAAAAGGAAAGAGGCAGGAGAAAAGTGTAGATAACAGAGACACGAAAAATAAAACCAGCAAAATCAGGAGGCAGAACAGATACAAGAACTACAATGGAAACAAACATTCCGGGCCCAGTGTAATTCTTCCTGAATGTTAGAAAGCAAAAGAGGTTTGTACAGTAGAGTTCCTGTATGGAAGAGCCTGGTTAATGTCCCAATGAACAGGCTCACCACAGACTAGGCAAAGTTGATGGTTGCACAGGCTTGGGATAAGGCATACAATCAAATAAGGGATGTAAAACACACAAACACATTTATTCAAACATTCAAAGCCTCAGTTTCCATGTTTATGAAATGAAAATTGCTAACAAAATAACTATTTCTATACTGGTCTCATGAGAATCAATTAGATAATTCTTGTTTGGCTCTGAACAAAGCATCTAAGAGACTAACTGTTCAGTAAATGACCAGCTAGATTTACAGCTTCTTTCACTCACAAGACATGGTTCTTTTGGTCCATTTGTTTTGATTTGTTTTTTTTTTTTTTTTTTTTTTTTTTTTTTTTTGAGACAGGGTTTCTCTGTGTAACCTCCCTGACTGTCCTGGAACTTGCTCTATGGACTAGGCTGGCCTCAAACTCATAGAGATCCTCCTGCCTCTCTGCCTCAGGGCGCTGGGATTAAAAGCATGTGCCCCCACCTCCCAGCACAGCATACAGTTCTAAAACATGTATCTCTTATGACTCTTTGGTGAATTCACCTTTGTATCTGCACTATTTATTTTCAACAAGTTTTTGGAAAACTGTCACACTCCAGACTGGAGAAACTGCTCAGTGGTTAAGATCATCACTTGCGGCTCTATCACAGGACCTGTGTTCATCCCAGCATCCACATCAGGTGATTGACAACCACTTCTAACTCCAGCGAGCTTCCAAGAGCACCTACATCACCAGTATGCACATAGCCACAAACATATACACATACTTTAAAAAAATAGAACATATCTTTTAGAAAAATTGTCAAGATCCTTAAAATCATAACTTACCTAAAAATAATGTTGATAAATTTCACTCAAGTCAGTATCATTTCCCAGTATCAAAACTGTAATCTGCCTGAAAGTACTAAACTTGAATTGTAGGCCCACTTTCTATATAACTCTACAACAGGCATATATTTAAGCCAGTAGAAAGTATGCAAGCTATATGCCAGGACCATAGGGGTTCTGACAATAATTAAGGCAGAAATAGAACTAACCCAAATTAGAGTTTATAATTTGCTAACAAAAACAATGCAACATAATGCTACAAAAGGAGACATACACAAACAAAATTACAATCTGGGCACTAAGAAGGAGATAATAAGATATCTGATGTGATAGGTAGAACTTTTTAAAAAAACAAGGCACTATCTATCCACTTTTCTGAGACAGAGTCCTGGTGAACCTGGAGCTGCCTGCCCAATCTGACCCAAATGGCTGGCCAGCAAGCTCCCAAGGACTGCCTGTCTCTGTCTTAGAAGCTACCTACATTTTTAGGGTAAAAGGAATATGCTGCCATACTCCACTTTTACAGGGGTGCTGGGGGATCAAAAATCAGGTCATTACGCTTGCTCATCAAGCACAGCTATCTACCTTTGAGCTATCCTCCCTAGCTCTGTTCTGAATATTTCTGATCTACGATTGGTTGGATTCAGCTGCAAACGCCATGAATATCGAGGGCTAGTCACATATAGTACTCATGAAATGTCCTAAGTTCTGTTGCATTAGCAATACCTGCCTTCAGAAACAATTCTGAAAAAAACAAGCCATAAACCAAGAACCCCACCAAGACTCATCAGCAAACAAGCCAGACACACTGCAATGGGGAAGGCCTGCCTCACTTTGGTAGTGGTCAAGAGGAACTTAATGGTTTGAGTCTAAAACTGTCTCTCTAAGTCTTCCACGTGGGAGCTTGACTGACAGTTGATGATTGAGAGGTGATAGGATCATAAAGGCTTCTAATTTTACAATGGATTAATACATTATTAATTCATAGCTGAATACTCTTATTAGAAGTTAAAGTCTTATTGAAAGAAGTAGGTTTCGAGGTGGGGATTCCCCAAAAGGAGCAGCTTGTGCTGGACTTTTCCTACGATGAATAACTCTACTAGGCCTCCTTATTGCCACAATGTTCCTCACCACAGACCCAAAAACTGGCTCAGTGTGCCCAAACTGAAATCTCTGTGAACTACAAGCCCAAATATCCTTGAAGCTGTTTTTCTCGGAAACTGACTAAATACTTCCGATAAACAGATTAAAGTGCAGGCACCAAAAATATTAATTGAAAAGAAGTAGTGTTTCCTTTTACCACTCTGATGATATGTAGATATTTTCCTAATATGTAAACAAAATTAATCTATCGCTTTTGTCAGGAGGACCTTACATTAAAAGTTTATGTATATGTGTGTATGCATACACATATATACATATGTGTGTAAGTTTTACATTTCAAACAAAAACTTTAAAGAAAGCCCAAATTTCACCTTTCTAAAACTATTAGTCTCTTTTACATTTTTTTCCCAAGCACTTTAAAGAGAATAATCAGAAAGGTACTCCTCTCCATACAAATGGGTCTGACAGGATTTAAACCAAATAAACCTGATAACAGTAATGTTTTATTAGTATCCAGTGTTCCAAAAAAATAAATTCCTTGGAGACATTGTATGAGACAATAATCAAAATCTGCTTTACATCTCATTTCCAAGGAATACACCTAGATGTGAGATGGAATGTCCTGCATGTATTTTATCTTAGTGACTACCTTAAGTAGTTACTCTTTTTTTTTTTCCTACGTCATTTGACAGTAGCTAAATCCCAATAAGATTTCTAAATGTAAATAAAATGCCATATATATTCAAGCAAGAAAGCAACAAATTGTATCACTTCCTTAAATGGTAAAGAAATTTTACCTGAAATGTTATCATAATTAGTCTGTCTTTCTCTCTCTCTCCTCCCCTACCTTTCTCCCCCCACACCCTTTTCAGTACCATGGACTGAACCCAGGGCTTTGTGTATGCTAAGCAAGTGCTTTACCCCCATACTATGTTCCTAACTTCATAAAATAATCTTAGACTCATATGTTTTACAGCTAGTAAATAATATTTTGTAGTATTTGCATATAACCTACACAGATCTTCCCTGATATTTTAAATCTTCTCTAGATTATATATAATATATACAACAAGTGTTACAGTAATTTCGACATGTTTTTAGGAAAGGCTGACAAGGAAAACAGTCAAAACATGTTTAATGCAAATGCAATGTTGTTTCAATGCAGTTGGTTGAATCCATGGATACAGAATTCATAAATACAGAAGGACATGTATACTCCTAAGTATTCCCTTAGGACTCACATAAACACCCTCAATAATCTTTTATTATGTTTCTAAATCAATTTATTTAAAACTTACTAATGCTACCCTTTCAATATCACATTACAAGTCTCCCAATATTATGGGGATTTAGCTGCTGTCTGATTAGTATATATCTAAATTCCCCTAGTCCACAAGATTTAGCATGTAAAACTGCCAAGGATGACTTAAATGTCAGACCCCCATTCACAAACCTCAAAACTGCAAATCTTATTTCTAACCTTGAAATATAAAAGACATTATCTATTAAGGTATTTTTAAATTCAAAGTATTTAATGGAATGTCCACATAAAATATTTAGAAAAAATGATAAATGTGTGTATAAAACAAATTAATTTTGCATCGTGCTTCAATACTAACTCAATAGATAAATTCAGCTATAAATTACATGTCTGAGGTAGAGTCACAAGACGGATCTACCACTCAACTCCTACCTGTTATGTGTATATAACCATCTTCATTCCCCCAATAACACACTAAAGCTTTCCGATAGTACAAACCTACCTTTGAGGTTCTTTGAAGCTGATCACCAACATATGTTTTACGAAACTGATCCAAAAACCAGAGAATTGCAAGTTCAATTTTTTCATTGGTACAGCGAGGCAATCTGGCATCCATTAAAGATATAAGCTGAAAAACACTTTCCATGAAAGAAAAAAAAAAAGCTTTAATACAAATTCTCAAAGAAACAATATCGAAGTATTTACTAAAAACATATAATCACTAAAAAAATGAGAAAATGCAAAAGCATGTCCAGAAAATGCTATTTAAATCATCTGAAATCCTACCTCTGTAAGACACAACTAGTCTAAATCCTCCTAGTCTTTAGCTATTAATATAAACCTCCAACAGGTGAGCATATACATACTATTCTACTAAAGATTATATATATGTATATATATATATATATATATTATATATGTATATATATACAGATATATGACATATACATATAAATATATTTACAGACATAAAAGTAAATATTTATATATTTTTAGTAAAAGGATATTAAATGTATAGTTATGTTCTTCACTTTATATTTCTAAGTATTTCAAAATTTCAATACCAATACCAATACTAAATTCTTTAAAATTAAGAATCATATCTATGAAGTTATATTCAGTACTCTACTAATGAATCATTAAAATTTTACCTAAAACAAATGAAAATATTAACAAAATTTTTAAGAAAATTAAGCTGTGGGGCTGGAGAGATTGCTCAGAAGTTAAGAGCACTGACTACTCTTTCAGAGGTCCTGAGTTCAATTCCCAGCAACCACATGGTGGCTCACAACCATCTGTAATGTGATCTTGTGCCCTCTTCTGTTGTGCAGGTGTACATGCAGGCAGAACATTGTATACATAATAATAAACACATAAAGAAAGAAAATCAAGCTTGTGTGTGCACGAGATGTGGTAATGGAGATTGAACTCAGGTCCTTCTACATACCAGACAAGCATTCCACAATTTATACCACTTTTTGCTTTTCATTTTGAAACACGGTCATTAAATTGCACAAGCTGGTTTTAATTCAATCTGTAGCTTAAGCTAGCTGGGACTGTAGAATTGCATTACCAGGCTCATTTCAACCATTTTCAATACCAAACCATTATTAACTATTATTAGTTGTCACAAAAATGATATATTTTCAATTGATTATTATTTAAGAATATTATTATAAGTGAATGGAAGATTAGGGCTCTTACTTCTATATAATGTATAATTCTCAGCCTTTCATTTTCAATGTCAACATCCTTGACACTATATATTTTTATGAATATGTCCTAGTAGGAGATAGTTATGTACCTTGCATTAACAAATTCAATATATCATGGCAGTGGAGGAGGGGATAATGCTTGGTTTGGTTTGGTTGAAGCAGGGTTCCCCTGTATAGCCTAAGCTGGCCTTGTACACATAGCAAACTTACCTCAGCCTCCCAAGTGCCAGAACTATAGATGAACACCACCGAGCCCAGACTAGTAAATTATGTTTTTTTTAATGAGATGAAATAATTGAGGCCTTGCCTAGCCCTGATCCATCTTATTCATTCTATGTATGCAACATGACTATGTAAAAACACATTATATACATACATACATACATACATACATACATACATATATATACATATATATGTATGTATACATACACACACACATACATCTACACAAGGATACATGTAATATTCATCTCCAGGTTCAACTTACAGTCCATTTTAAATTTATTTTAGTAAAAAGTATGGAAGAACTTAAATAAGTTCAAACAACTTCATTAAGTAAGCTACTTCTTTAAATAATTTTTAGTTGTTTGTTTTATTGAGATAGGGTCTTACTCTGTAGCCCTGGCTGGCACAGAACTCATTATATAGAATGGTCTGGAACTGACATTGATTAACCTGTCTCTGCCTCAAGTGCTGGGATTAAAGGTATGCACCATCACACCAGGCCTTCATTAAAAATTTAAATCCAGATTGTAAACACATAGTTCCAAATACAAAGAAATGGATTTTGGATTCCCTTGAAAACCCAATTTAATAAGTATTCATTAAACCAACAAAAACTATATTAAATATGTATTAGGTGTTCAGAATAAAAAATTAGAAAGATAAATACATATAGAGCCCAATTCTATAGAAATTCACAATAATACAATTAACACATAGAATAATGAATGCCAAGTTGTCTAATATAAGAAATGCTATAAGGAATTAACAAGGATTCCTAGTACCCTGGAATATAACAGTGTAAGGAGAAAATATAAAAAGGGGACATAGACACTTAGAAAGAGAACAAAAAAAAAAAAAAAAAAAAAAAAAAAAAACTGCTAGTTTAGGAATTTTCAAATGGAGGCTGAAGAGATGGCTCAGTAGTTCAAAACACTAACTTCTCTTCCAAAGGAGCTAGGTTCAATTTTTACCATGGTTTCAAAGTCCTAGGAAAGTCAGCCACCTTCTGTTCTCTCTACAGGCACCAGACATGCATCTTATACATAGACATATGTATAGGCAAAAACTCAAATGCAAAATAATAGTTTAATTTTTTTTTAAATGTTCAATATAGGCATGCAACAAGCAGTGGCAAGAGACAAAAATAAAAAGGAAGGCAAGAGTCAGGAATGGTGGCCCATGCCTTTAATCCCAACACTTAGGAGGCAGAGGAAGGCAGATCTTTGTTAGTTCAAGGTCAGCCTAGTCTAGAGTTACATAGAGAAATCCTGTCTCCAAAAACAGAATAAGTGGGAGGGAAGGGGAAAAGGAGGGAGGGAGGGAGGGAAGGAGGGAGAGAGGGAGGGAGAGAAGGAGGGAGGGAGGGAGGGAGGGAGGGAGGGAGGGAGGGAGAGGCAGGCAGGCAGGCAGGCAGGCAGGCAGGCAGGCAGGCAGGCAGGCAGGCAAGCAGGCACTTGTCAAATCAGGTTAGGTAGAGTCTGATAATTCATGTTGATAAAAACAACAAAAATGCATTTTTAAAAAAAAACACAAAAACAGAAAAACCACCCAAAGCATGAAATGCAACAGAAGTCATCTTTATTTTGAGGAGAGAACTGTCAGCAAAAGGAGTGTAAAAATGAAGAGCAGTAAAGCCTTTGGCTTGGAGGACTACAGTCAAAGGAACTATCAGCAGCAACACTAGCCAGTAATTGCAAATGGGCAAAGGATAGCCGCCAATGACAGTCAACTCACTGATAAAAGATGATGTGTACATTTGTGGCTTGATGCCAATGCCAGAAGACATGCCTTCAATTCCAGTGAGCTCTCAGCACTGCCCACAGTTTCTCCTTTCAGTAATTCTTGTCTTCCATTTTCAAAGATCTACTATGTATGTACCTGCATTCAATGACTGGAATTAAATTCCTGTCTTCTGCCTTCTTTAGCCCTAAGTCTTCCTATGTCTAGTCTCTGACCACTCAGTTGCCCAGTGAGTTAGAGATGATCCTACACTCTCTTGGGTTGCCAAGCATAAGAAGACATTTACTCCTCCCATTACTTTAGTACAATGCACAAACTACATAGTTGTAAAACTACAAGAAAAGCTAAAGTAGGATATGAACTATTTGGATAGGGTAGTCAGGAAGAGTAGATATTCAAATTCCTATTTTATAGAGACAATGGTGCTCTACTTCCAATTACAGGAACTTCTGCAAATTAAGTGTTATTTTGCAATTGTACGTAAGCTGACTTTACGTTTAGAATCCTAATATTCTAAAACACATGTAGAATCTATGTTGTTCACAAGCAAGATGCAAATCTTAGCATACATCCACTTTGAATATTATGTATTGCCCTGCTTGCATACCCACTGACCTCACCGTTTGATCACTTGACCTCTGATATCCCCTACTTCTCATAAAGCCCCAGAAGAGATTCACATAATTCCTAAAGTTACAACTCCACACTAGGGAAACAAAAGCCAAAATTCATTGTACCATTAGGCAACTCAACAAAGTCAGACCAACAGAAAGCTCTAATTTCTCCAGCTCCCCATGTATTGCACTGAGAGGGCGAGAGAATTTAAAGACCCCAGGTATATACTTCAACCAAGAAGAAGCAGAACATGGAGAGAAAACAACAGACAAGTTTCTTGCCCTTAGTAACCCCTACCACAACTGCTGTTAGGAACAGTGGCTATATGTAGCCTAGGAGAAATTCCTGTACAAGTTCCTCAGTAGTATGCTACTGTGTGTTGGTTCTCATTATTCATGGCAGTGTGTAGTCATTGAAAACACTAGAAATACAGGGTTAGCTCTTGTAAGCCTCTGCTCACATTCTGTCAATGTATTAACTTCTTGTTCTGCCTACTTCTACTCGAAGACACAGAATTACACTCACAGCATTAATTTGCTAGCAAGAAACTCCCAGTAATAAGTCTGGAAACTGTCTGGAAAACAGGTTCACACATGCTTTCTCTGAGACTCATGACAGCCTTCTTATGTAGAAACACTGAACATACTTAAATGCTATAGTTGGCCATTTAGGCAATGAAGGAAAGAACAAAAACATGACAAATGTGGCAATGGAGAGCCTGCAAAAGCACATGGATTTATACTGTAGGCAGTGAAACCAGAAAGCAGGAAGCTGTCTTTTTATACTCTGCTAAGAAACTGAGCAACAAGCCAGGATTTTTCTTTTTAATCCTTATGTATGTTTGAAAATGACAGTAAAAGCACTATGAGAACTGATTTGACGTTTATAAACAAATTTATCACAAAGATGAGTCACAAAAACAGCAACCAAAGCAATAAGAGTTAATAAGTATCTTTATTTTCTCACCTATTTTCTCCTATCCTTACTTCTCTGAAAAAAAAATTATCACAACACCCTAATAAAATATCAGTTTATAAGTTCCACTTAACCCTATTTTCTAGGGAATGTAGGCTAGTAAAGAGATAACCCTTATTTAAAGTTAGTTTCATTTTTTAGAGAAAACATGAATGTTCTTCTAATGAGCAGACAGAGATCTGCTCTGTCACATGACATCTTATTTTTCTAGAAATAGTGCCAGTATTGCTTAATGAGGAAAACTTTTAAAATATCAAATGAACAATAACAGAAGCACCTAATTTCCCCTTTACAAAATATATAATATTACTTAAAAGATGACACAGGCATTTTATAACGGCAATAAACAGTTGATATTCCCATTTCCAAGCAACTTAAATTGGTATAATAAACAGTAAATCTTGGTAAAGTAAATATATTTTTATATATTCAGTTCAAGTTTTATCTTTTTTAAAAATAATACCTTGTTAGGTGGAGGTGACTCACACCTTTAATCTAAGCACTCAGGTAGCAGAGGCAGGCAGATCTTTGTGAGTTTCAGGCCAGTCTAGTTTACAGAACGAGTTCCAGGACAGGCTCCAAAACTACACAGAGAAACCCTTATATATTAAATTAAATTATATATAAATTAAAATATACTTAGAGATTCAAATCTTATTAATAAGATAGTACACATTAGATAAAAGGATATGCAATGAAAAAATTCTATTCATAATTACAACAAATTTACCCTAACCTTAAGAATATATTTAAACTGTGTAGCAGTGGCACACACCTTTAATCCCAGCACTTGGGAGGCAGAGGCAGGCAGATCTCTATGAGTTCCAGACCAGCCTGGTCTACAGAGCTAGTTCCAGGACAGCCAGAGCTGCTACACAGAGAAATCCTGTTTTGGAAAAACAAACAAAACTAAACAAAAAGAATATATTTAAGGCTAAGAGATGGCTCAGTGGAGTAAGAGTGGTTGGTATGCAACCAAGAGGACTTGAGTTCACATCCCCAGCACAAAGTCAGGTATGCCTGTTAACTCCAATACTGCAGGGCAAAGACAGAAGCTTGTGGATCAGCTAGCATAATCAGTGAGTCTTAGGTTCAATGAAAGATTGTGTCAAAATAAGGTGGAATATAGAAGACTCTAATCCCTCTTCTCTGGCCTAATAAACATGCACGCACGCAAGCACGCACACATCTGCCCACTGTAGTGGTGTGAATGAAACAAACACACACACACACACACACACACACACACACACCCATTGTAGTGGTTTGAATGAAAATGACCCCCAAAGGAAGTAGCCACATTAGGAAATGTGGCCCTGTTAGCACAGGTATAGTCTTGTTGGAGGAAGTGTGTCACTGTGAAGGTGAGCTTAAAGGTCACATGTATGCTCAAAATACCACCTAGTATCTCTGAACACTACAAGATGTAGGACTCTCAGCTCCTTCTTCAATACCATGCATGCCTGCATACTGCCAGATGCCACCATAATGATAATGGACTGAGTCTTTAAACTGTTATCGAGCCATCCCAATTAAATGTTTTCTGTAACAGTTGCTGCAGTCATGGTGTGTCTTCACAGCAAAAGAAACCCTAACTAAGACACCTATAGACTTCTCTCTCTCTCTCAATACTCAAAAGGTCTTTACAGAACTGATAATAGTACTCTGAATATTAATGTATTATTTTCATTGGAATTTTAAGCCTTCAACAAAACAAACAAAACTGCATGAGTGTTCAGGAAATATGATATTTGATCAAGATCTTTGGAAAAGCAGGCTGTTCACACTATCCACAGGAACTTCCCTCAGTTTAGCAAAGTGTTAAGGATCACCCAATAGCTTATTAAGGATGTGATCAGTAGCACTAGGGGTAAAAATCAAGTAAATTTGAGTCTATTTATTGAAGGATAAAAATAATCTCTGTACACTGATTTTCTCATGAGTAAAAAGGGAACTAATACACAGAGGCCAAGGGCATCATTTTATACTAGGCCATGTAAAGCTATTTCAAAAGCTAAATTTCTTAACTGTGTAGTAAGTAACTGTTACTCACCGGCAAGATAATTCTCCATCCATAGCATCATGTTCATCTGTGCTGGTGTATGTTAATCTCCCTCCTACAACAGTGCCAACTAAGTATATCAGCCATGCAAGGCGTCCTTACAACAAGAAAGAAGAAAGGTGACAAGTTTATGAAGTCAATTTCCAACACACAGGAGAACATTGGGTTTCATGTTTATCAAGGCAGTGAGTATTACTAGCAGATCTTCTAGTAAGAAAAAAAACAGTGTATATATGAATCCCAGTTCCACCAATCTGTTTCAATTTTATGAGTTACTTACCATTAGGTTTTCATTTGCAAACGGAGAAAAAAATTAATAGATCTGGTCACAGTGATACACACCTTTAATCCCAGAAGTAGGGAGGCAAAGGTCTCTGAGTTGAGACCAGCCTGGTCTACAGAGTGAGTAGCAGTTACAGAATACAGAGACTCAGTCTCAAAAAGCAAACAACAAAAAAATTAAACTTGATAATAAGGCCCTAATGTATTGTACATAGACAGTTCTGTTCTCCATCCAAAAGCACTCTAATTATGGTCACAATAGTACATGATGGTAATCCAGCACTGAGGAGAGGTGGGGTGCTAGAACAGGGGGACAGCAGGGTCTCCATGAATTCCAGGCTAGCCTGAGCTGAACAGTGACATTCTGCCCACCCCTCACCCCCATCCCCCCAAAAAAGTATTATTGTGGGCTGGGTATGAAAGTATACACAGTAATGACAGGACCTGGAAGTGTGAAGCATAAGGATGGCAAATTTGAGGTTATTCCACAGGGATTTCTAGGTTGCTCTGGGGTACATATAAAGACTATACACAACAAATCCTCTTATCACCAACAACAAGCTCTGTTCTGAATGGTCAGTTTCATGATGGTGTCTGACTACCCATTTTCATTTTGAAATTACTTTGCTTATAACACTACAGATAATAGTGAACTTATTCCCTTTAGATTTTTTTTTAATATATTAAAATCCAGGGTTTTTTTTTTATGCACTTCACTGATTATTGGGTTGTCTTAATGGCTAAAAATATCAGTGATTACACAGCTTTAAGTAATGGAACAAAGAGCTAGGGAGTTAGCTTAGTAAAGTGTCTGCTTCATAAGCACCTGAGTTTGGTCTTCAGAACCCACATAAAATAAAATGGGTGTGGTGACACCCACTTATGAGCCCAGCAGCAGGGAGCAGAGACAGGCAGACTTCTGGAGCTCCCTGTCCAGCCAGCAATCTAGCCTATGTGGTAGGTAGCCTGCTCATTAGTGAGAGACCCTGACTCAAAACGCAGCAAATAGAACAGAAGGAACAGCTGGGGTTGGACTGTGGTTTCCCCATAAGCATACACACGTGCATGCTCACAAATGAACTCACACACACCCCAGCTCACCAAAGTGCAAATATCTACAATTTTCACAAATTTTACTTTAGAGAATCCAAAATAGATAACTTTAGGAATAGAATGATTAGATAAATGCTTTTTAGGGAGTATTATATTAGGTCTCTGGATTTATCAAGACAAGTACTAGATTCTTTTGAGACCTGTAGGAATATTGAACAACTTAAAATTGTCATTCCACAAAGAAATTTTGTGTCATTTTTGAAAGCTGAGTTTTCAAAGATGAGCAAACTATTTAACAATTCCAAAATTAATGACATTTCTCTTATTAAGAAATCTTGGAGGCTACAGTGATAACTCAGCCATTAAGGCACCCACAACTCAGCGGTGTCTCACAACTCCCTGTAACTCTATCTAGTTACAGGGTACACAATGCCCACTTGTGATTTCTGTAGGCACCAGGCATGCACATGTAGGCAAAATACTCATATACATAAAAGCAAGCAAATCTTTAAATAAAAAAGGATATTCCTGTGACCTTTGTGTTTGTTTAAATATGTTGAATAGTTAAGAAAAGGCCTGTGCTTGTTAAAGGACTTGGTAGGACAAATGCATTCAACAATGCCTTTCCTGCAGATGTTAGCATTCATGATTATACTGCAACAATCAACAAACTAGTTCCTTGGAACAACAGCAGAGGATCCTCAACCTACTTCAATGACAAACATCCTATAAATAAATTCATTTTAGCAAATACGCATTCTTTTGTCTATCACAAAAACATGAACCAACCAGAAACCATCAATTTTGTAGCATATGCATTAACAACATGAAAGAGTTAAAGGTGAAAACTAATGTGATCAAGGAACACATCACAAAACAAGACAAATTCCACAGTGTGTATTAAGAAAGAGAGCCAGGCGGTGGTGGCACACACCTTTAATCCCAGCACTTGGGAAGCAGAGGCAGGTGGATCTCTGTGAGTTCGAGACCAGCCTACTACAAGAGCTAGTTCTAGGACAGCCTCCAAAGCCACAGAGAAAACCCTGTCTTGAAAAGCCAAAAAAAAGAAAAAAGGAAGGAAGGAAAGAAGGAAGGAAGGAAGGAAGGAAGGAAGGAAGGAAGGAAGGAAGGAAGGAAGGAAGGAAGGAATCAGTACAAAGTCCATAGAAGAAGCTGGGTTCATGTTTGAGCTTCCAGAGTGTTTACAGATCAACAGAAAAGTCTAGACTACATATAGCTCCCCTGGTAATTATGCTAACAATGTGGCTTTTTCTACCAAGCCTCTTGAATCTTGCAACTTGAATACAGAGTAAGTATTCATGATCCTCATTTCTCCTTCTAGAATATTCTCTTAATCATAAAAATACTCATCCTTACATCATCAAATTATGAATACTCTATTTTGATGCACTTATATACTTTCCTGCAATTATTTCTCCTTATTTTTAAAACTGGACCCTGGCTCACTGTTGGCTTTTCCAACAATATATTATCATAATAGTTGCTAATTTCAATATTGATAAAGACAAATCTTACAACCATGACAGTCCTGTGTTCTACTGGGGAACCACCTAACCCATGGAGGTACTATATTTTAACAGTTCTGCTGAAATAAAAACTCATATACCATACAAATCAGTCTTATGACTAAATTCACAGGGTTATGCAAGCAATACTACCAGTTTTTTGAGTGTTTTCCTATTTCCAAAATTAAATTTAACAATGGTTAAGTGTGCTAAAATTACACTTGATCAAGCTAGGCTTGGTGGTGACATTTCCTCTCTAAAGGAACAACAAACATGCTGTTGTTTGGAGAGGTCACATTTTACACACACCTTCAGTTACTGGATGTTGGAATTATTTTCATCTCCTAGCTATTATAGAATGCTGTGATGGACACTGTATACATTGTGTAAATGCATACCCTCAAATCTCCACACACCTAGGAGTAGACTACTGTGTCATGTGGAACCTCTATATACTGAGAAACTCTCACATTGTTTTCATCAAGCTGCACCATAGAGCAATCCTACTAATGAAGGGTGAAGTCCTATATTCCACAAACGTTGTTACTAACGCTTGTAATTGTGTTGTATTTTGTTTTTCTCTTTACATCTATCCTAGTGGGGTAAGATGTCTTCCCTCATTACTAATTGTTTTTAGCATATTTTCATGTGTTTACTTGCTATTTTATGCCTTGTCTGAAGAAAAGTCTATTTAAATTCTTCAGCTATTTTCAAGATTTGTCACTATTACTGAGTTGTAAAAGTGCTTCACTGCATTTTTTGTAGGTTTTGTTTTCACCTTCTTGATGGTGTTCTTCTGATATACTCCAACTACCTATTATTGTTATTGTCTGTTTGGGGATGTTTGCTAAGAAAGATATGCCTAACCCAAAGTCATGAACATTTATACATACTTTTTTTTTTTTCTGAGAGTTTCTTGATCTCTTATGTCTAGGTTCAAGAGTTCTAGCATAGACACCAGACAGATGAGAAAGAGGAACACAGGAGCTCAGCCCCAGCTATCAGCTAAATGCACTGGCTCAAAAGCCCAGAAAATTGAGATAATAAAGCAATTGTTAATTGATAAATCACTAAGCTTTGGCAACAAATAATAGAGCACAGTCCCCCTCTGCTTCACTGCTTTCTATTTTAGCACATATGGACGTCTAACATAGCTGCTCTTAACTATTGTCTGTCAACTTGAGCAGGCTGTAGCCTTCAGGAAAACAGGCACGCGCTTTTGCCTGTTGGATTTTCTAATCAACTTGAGAGTCTAAAACACAGCCTGGCATGTTTGATCAGTTTAACATTAGCAATTTATTGAATACTGAAATACAATCACTAAAAATAAACTGTAATTAAATTTCTTATTTAAGTTATACATTCTACACAAGATTTGCTGCAATTAATTCTTATTTGTAGATTCCCTATTTTATTATTATTACTACTTTTTCTGAGGCAGAGTTGCTCTGTATATCCCTAGCTGTCCCAGAACTGGCTTTGTAGATTAGGCTGGCCTGTTCCTGATTTTTAAAATTTACCTTTTTGTTCAAACTTACCTATAACCCTAAATTGGCCCTCAAACAACTCACACATAGTGCAGAACATTAATGACTGAGTTGTCTTGTGTACACAATTGTGGCTCCTGTTGAGCAATGTGACCATCTTGCCTTGTTTCAGCTCTAACCAGCATTCTTTTTAGTTTCTTTATTTCTATTGGTTTTCCCCCCATTTTACACCATTAGTGATTTCAATCTGTGAGACAGTCCAAGTGTCATACTGAAGAGCTATACAGTGTTCCTGAATGGGGTGTGTGACCAGGGGCATTATGCACTCTAGTGGTTTGAATGAGATGATACCCAGTATGTCTCAAGCACTTGGTCCCCAGTTGGTGGCCATTTGGTAAGGATAAGGAAGTGTGTCCTCCTGTCATTCCCAGTATTTCTTTGCTTTCTGCTTGTGAATGGGAATAATGGACTCTCAGCTGCCACTCAACACCATGCATGCTGCCATGCTATGGCCATGATGGTGAAGATGCTCCTAGCCCTGGAACTGTAAGATCCAATTAAATGCTTCCTTCTCCAAGTTGCCTTGGTCATGGAATTTTTTTTTTTCATGGCAATAGAAAAGTAACTAAGACATGTGTCCTCTATACAACATGCTATGTGTTAGATCAGCTGTGTTCAGGTATTAGTCAATAGTCATGTTGGCTCTGAGTTCAATGTTAATGAACCAACAATATATTTAAATCAAGAGC